AGATACAAGTTTTACTTATTTTTTTTACCAGGGTGACGGAAATGGGCTTCCATAATGTATAAATTTCCTGCATCTAAAAAATAATTTCTGATACCACAGAGAGGACAATCTGAGGAGAATCTCACATGCTGGACACATTTACATCTAGTTTTCGTTTCCCGTCACAGATGTACCCAGAATGCATCACTTCAGTTTTCCAATGAACAGTTTTAGAATTACTTTATTGATGCTTCTTTAATGAAAAATCCACAACAAACAAAAGAAAAAGACAAAGAAGCAGCCGCAATCCTCAACAACTTTTTAAAGAATCAGCCAAACTGCAAGKCTCAACAAGTTTTTAAWTTTTAGACCATGAGCCAAAGTTCTCTTTGAGGAAATCAGATCCCCAGCAATCAAAGGTAATAAAACGAGCTGTACAAGAGTTCATGTACCACCAGGGGGCAGTATTGTACATATAATATACATGTAGCCAGCTGGAAAGTGTCAAATTGAATCTGCGGTGTAAAATAATGATCTGCTAATATTTCTATTGCATTAGCAAATTAGAAATTGCAGACCTAAATATTTTCATAAGTGCTTTAGAAATTGCGGAACTAATTTTTCGAATTAGCACTACCCACCACTAACAAAAACATGGAAATGATCAGATTAAATTTATTCACAACCATTTTATTCTGTTTGGCAGTAAGATGGTAACAAGATGATTTAAACTAATAATATGATTCCAGCAACTAATGAAATACATTTTATTATACATCTCTTTCAGTTTCAACTGTCCATCCTAACTCAGTCTCTTCTGCTCTATCCTGTAACAGTAGCGCCCTCTGGTGACGAGGASAAAATAACAGCAACCTAACAGAACTGATGCAGTCAAAAGTTTACATACATGTTCTTAGTCTTTGGCATCATTGCCTTTTGGGTATCCTTCCACATGTTTCTGTCAGTAGTTTGCTGGAATTTTATCTCGTTCTCCCTAACAAAACTAGGTGGAAGTGACTCAGGTTTGTAGGCTGCTCTTTTCAGTTCAGACCATTARCTTTGGCGTTCATACACACCCAAGGATGAACTAGAGTTGTGCAGGTCAAACGTTTTCTACCTGATATCGGGACTGATTTCTTTTGATTGTTCCTGGAGTCTCACACAAATAAGCAGTGTTTAGGGTCAGCCTTAAAATGTGTCCACAGATGTGTCTGTAATCACTCCAATTCTGTCAACTAACATATTAAAGTTTCCAGATTCATGGCATCATCATCATCTGGACTTTCCCAACTTGTTAAAAAGCAACATAGTCTTGGTTTATTTGAAGTGTGTGTAAAGACAATCTGATGTTTCCTCTTGTGTAGTTTCAACTTAGGAGTYATGTGAGTGATTYGTTTTTAGTGTGGATTCTCTTATGTTTGTTTAAACTCCTCTTTTCAGCAAACCTTCGATCACACAGCTCACAACAAAATGGTTTATGTCCCGTGTGGATTCTCATGTGTGACTTTAAATGGCCCTTTTCAGTAAACCTTCGATCACACAGTTCACAACAAAAGGGTTTCTGTCCTGTGTGGATTCTCATGTGTTTATTTAAACTACCCTTTTCAATAAATCTATGCCCACACAGCTCACAACAAAAGGGTTTCTGTCCTGTGTGGATTCTCATGTGAGTGTTTAAATTGCCCTTTCCAGTAAAACTTCGATCACACAGCTCACAACAAAATGGCTTCTGTCCTGTGTGGATTCTCATGTGTGTGTTTAAATGNGCGGCAACTGTGTGATGCCATCATGTCAATATGGACCAAAATCTCTGAGGAATGCTTTCAGCACCTTGTTGAATCTATGCCACGAAGAATTGAGGCAGTTCT